GTGTTAATCTATGACTTAAAGTCTACACAAGAGACGACTTCAAATAATTAAAAATAAATTTAATATAGATATTTTGAATTTCTTTGTATAATATGTATATATTTACAAACTAAAAGTATATAAGTATTGTATCAGTCAATCTAGCTTTCATGTTACAAGCTCTGCTTAGTTCGAAACTAGATGGCGGTGTGTGTGTGATGTCCGAAACTATTATATATAAAAGTGGCAGTCTCGTCTTCAAACTCGTAAATATTTATACGTGATTACTTAAACTCGTAACTAATAAAATGTATGACTTGTTATAGACTTATTCAATTGGCTGAATTTACGAAAGTGTTATTTGTCTTGCCTGTTCTTCGAACTTGTGTTGGAAAGTTAAGACCAATACTAAGTTCTAGAGAGATTTATTTGATTAAATAACGTTTCGTGAAAACAGTAGAACTCAATTAGATGCTGATGCCAATAAATTAATTTCCTAAAGTTCCAGATCTCGTGGAATTAAGTTTGACATGGGCCTGTAAAATACTAAATTATTTAATTCTTTATAACAATTAATACATATGAAAAATAAAAATATTATTTTTTCACAATTATTTTACTCCTCCTCAATTCTGAATCTCCCTTTTAGATCCTCTCTTGTTTCCGGTCGTTCATAATTATAAGTCTTTTAACATCAAAAGTTTACTGTTTGTCTACTCGTTAAGGGTCTTGACAGCTAATCCAGGGGTTGTGAGTCCGATTTCCACCCACTACAAATATGAGTAAGGCTTGATGAGCATGAATATTTGTTCACTGGCGGGATATAATTTACCTATAATAAGTATGTATTTAGAAATATATGTATACAGTCAACGGCGATTGGCTTGTTCTCTATTACCTATTAAAGTAGAACTAAAATTATAGCCGGCCAAAAGTGAAAGCTTAATACACCTCTGCCTACCCCTACACGTGGGCAAAAAATTGCGTGTATGTATGTGTTTGTGTGTAGTTTGGATAGTGTAGTTTTCATTTCAGTTTATTTAGTAAACATTCCTCCTTGTGCAGTAAGAAAACACGCATCGCTTACAATATAATCGTACAAGAACTAATGTATAACAGAAAAATAATGAACCTTAACACCTTACGCCTAGTGTGACGATAGCCAAGCCACTTGTTTTGACTAGTATGTAAAGTTGGTGATGTTAGGGCTTGTAAAGTTAGGGCGTGTAGAGCTGGTGGCGGCAAGCGCGTTGCGAAGCGCGCTCGCTTCCAGGGAACATGGGGTTCTCACATGGGGGGGGGGGGGGAGGGTCGTCTACTCGTCTGTAGATGGCCCGAGGTATGTCGGGGCATCAGGGACTTCCTTTCTAGGGTATACCTCGTTCCCCGGCTATTAATACCCGAGACGGCGTGTAGAGCTAGAAGTTTGGCTCTAAATTAAATCTGATAACTTTTTGATAGCGATGATATGGTCTCGTCTTGGCAACATTTTTTTGAAAATTTTCTTGGTGGGATTATATGTTTTATTTCGTTTGTATGTATTTCATTTTTCCTTTTTACTATTTTCCTAAAATATATGGCTGATAATTCTTTGTTATCAAAACAAAGCCATGAATTACACAGGTGATCGCAAAGCTCATCGAGCGAGATGTGAAAACCTTCTAACCCCAATGATTTATGAATGAAAACAACAACCCCATTTTTTTTATATTGTACGATTTACCCCTATTGTTTTCTTTTTTTGCCAAATCTACCGAATTTTTATTAAAGGCATATTAAAGGCATCAAAATGCCTTTAATAAAAATCTTTTCTTTGTTGAACCTTTAGAAATAATTATCTGTATTAAGCTACTTTTCTTTGTTCTATAAAAGACATAGTAGGTGGAAGCTTGAGGCTTAAACTTGTTATTTCAGTTAGTAAATTATACTTTACATTTCAAAGTCATTGGATTTTACAATTCAGTGTTGTGAGATATATGTGGTTCATTACCTTTTTAGATTGCTGATCTCCATCAAGTTGATCAAAATTGTACAACCAGTTTCGTCAGAGGGTCTGTTTGGAGCACAGGTTTTAATAAGTAATTGAGATGTCGGGTCGCTATCGTATCGTCGAACGCAATAGACTTCTCACATTCATTGGTATCTGATGTATGTTTGAAATTATTTATATATTTCTCCGGTAATCAATCTGGTATATATTGTGCGTAAACAAACATTGGTACTGATTTAAATCATTGAAAACAATTGCGTTGCGTTGCATATATTATATTACATATTTTTTCTTTATTTTATCATGTACTTTTGAAAGATATTTTTTTTATCTGAGAAAGAAAATATAACAGAATAATATACAATGGATATTTTGTACGTTTTTCTATTTTATTTTCTCTAATAATAATGACTAATAGAATGACAATTAGAATTTCAAAACAAAATGCAACCACATTGAATACTAATTAGTAGGAAATTCCTCATTAAATTTAGACTTAAGAGTCCGATCGTTCATTTCAATTGACACTTAAGTGACTTTATGTTCTTATAACTCTGTCATTTAATTCCCGATTTGGAATATTCTTTTTTTTCGAGACGGTATACTTTTCGTTTGGTTCCGTTCAAATTTTAAAACAAAAATAAGGTTAGTTGTTAAAACAAAAATTGAAGGAATTAAAAATATAGTCGTAATATAGTCTAAAATATAAAAATACGGTCCGATGTATAAGTCGATGATACCTTTTTTTACAAGTAAATTATAAATTTAAAGTTTATCGCGATATATCTTTTACAATTACTTATTTATAATGATATCACTGCTTAGCGAAAAATCTAATTACCATTACACACATAAGAGGGTTATTCTCTTTCCTTAATATCTTCAACAACATAATTCATGGCCAAAGGTGTATAAAATGGACATTAACATTATTATTTTTTATCAGTGATACATAGAGCTTGACGGTCAATTTACGGAAGTCAATTAATAGCCTTGTTTAATAAACTTATTAATAGACAATGTATTTTAAATCCGTGTAAAAATGTTCTTATATAGGTATACATGTAAGCTAGTACCATGTTAGTTCCTGTTTCCGACTAAGTTATTTTCGATTAGGTATGTTATAATTTGTTCATAGGGTAACCATTAAAGCGTTCAATATTTCCTTAAATAGTCATGAATGCATTTATTCCATGGTTAGTTTTTATTTGTTATTATACTTTTAAAAAAAATATTTTATCTTGGTTAAGTCCTTAACAGCGTATTCAAGACTGCATCAATTGCAACTATTGTAGAAGGTTTATTGCACAATAGAGTTAGGTGTCCATCATTGATTAAATTAAGGTAATATAATTTTTTTAATCGTTTTCAAATAAGATAAAATAACTTACGTATGGTTCAAAAGTTACTTTAGAGCATAATTCCGTTAAGAATAAATTATGAGCAGATGTTCTTAAGTTTACGTTATTAGTATAGTAAAAGGGTAAGGGGTAGAAAAAGGTGTAATTAAAAGCCTACATTTCACTGTATGGGCAAGTCTATTACTGTCAAACAGACAATTTACAAAATATTCACATCCTAAATATTCTGTTAATCGATATCAAAACTCTGAAAATAATATAAAGGTCGACTTAACCATTAACCCTGTATATATTTGTGTATTTATATGCAAATTGTATTTCTTATATGTATTTATATGTGTGTGGATATACTTGTATTTTTAATATATTATATGTATTAGTATACCAATTGCAATTCTATTTTACTGGCATTTCAAAGGATTATATACTGCTGAAGTTACTTTATAATATAGTAAAACATATTTTTTCGATTTGAAATTTGAAACATATTTGTTATAATATAATTTTATAATTTATAATAATTTCACACATCTCACACACGGCCGTCTGATCCCAAACCAAGCAGAGCCTGTACTATAGTAATCAGACTGCTGATAAACATACTTATATATTTCTAAATACATACATAATATAGATAAATTACACCCAGACACAGAACAAATGATCGTGCTCATCACACAATTATTTGTCCTGGGGTGGGAATCGAACCCACGACCTCCGGCTTAGCAGTCAGGATCACTAACCACTAGACCAACAGGCCCGTCAAGTATTTTAATAATTAGAAAATACTGTGCAATTTTGAATATCGTTCAATTCTTTATTATTGTCATATCACGAGTTATATTTTTGTTAGAGCTTGCAGACTAGCTTACGATTAAGCTAGATAGAAACTAACTGTATAGTAATACATACAAAATGTAACGATATACCTTGTAGTGTTTTTTCGTGAGAACGTTCGAACGTTCGTCGTTCTCAAATTATGTTTTAATTAATTTATACATAGGTAGGTACCATTATAGTAGCCAAAAAAAAAAACAGTTCAGAAGATAATACTTTAATAATAATCTTAAAAATAATAGTGATTTATAGTAGCAAATAGTAATTTGTTAAAACGCATAATATTATGGCTATTAAGAACGGAACAATAAAATGATAATTATTTGTATTCAACATTTCTACCGTATTTAAAACAGACTTTGTGGAAGAGTTATATTACAATTTTATTGTTATTAAATACTATCAAAGCTATTTTACTTACAGGAACTAACTTTATTACGAGTAAGATAAAATCTACTTATTTTTCTTGTTCGACTTTATATCGTATAGAATTTTGTTTTAAAGTAATTAGCTTTTTGTGCAAAAAGCTTTTCTGAACAAATGTTCTCTCAAATCTTTGAAATTAACAGCTGTTTCACCAGCTGTCATTTCTAGGCGGCGGCGGTGCGGGCCTAAAATAAATTTCGCAGCGTAAATGATTAAATTAATAAAAGGCGTGATATTGAATGAAGGAGTTGAATGATGATATTTGTAATGTGACGCAAGTGATAATTATTTTGGCCTTTATCAAATTCATAATAAAATTGACTGGCGGTGCCATTGAATAAGATAATATACGACAGTTGTAGTCAAAGGCAGAAAGGCTGGTAGTGTGGTAAATATTTAAATGAAAATTACCCAGGTGTATTCCAATTGCTACCATCGCATAAAGCTGTTGTAGGAGTTTCTTGTGGTCTGAAATAAAAGATTATGTTTATGAAGAATTAACAGTTGTTTTTGTTTTAACATAAGTAAGGATTGATAAGAAGTTTCGAACTTTTTGGTAATAGCCAATTCGTCTGTCTGTTTGTTCCGGTTGATCTTCAGAACTGGTTTCAACACAATGTTCACTGGTAAATTTCATATATTATGTTATAAGGAGTAACTTAGCCTAATTATGTTTAAAAAAATATAGGGTAGATATAAATATGTGAGCGAAGCCGTGGCGAGCATAGCTGGTTTGCTTTATCATACAATTAAATTGTAAATTTATTTTCTAGTAGTAAGTTCAAGTATAGTACTAAGCAGACCTCAATATGTTAGTAAGAAGTGTAACTAAACTTACCCAGATCCCAAGTTTGCAAGTGTCATAGCTTCGTGAGCTCTAATTTTCCTGCCGTATATACGCCAAAGTTTGACACAGAGTGGTGTGAGCGCAGCGCACCATAACACTCCAAGCAGAAATCCACATACCCACCAACCATGCTGGAAAAGGTTTTTTTTACTTTAGTGTTAAGTACACTAAAGCACCCTTCTATAACTCACGTATTAGATTATAAATTTGTATATAAGTTGAATTTTGATTTTTTATGCTTCGAAAAGTATGGTCTCATTGTTTCGGTAACTTGATAAATATTTAGTTTTCCACCTATGCATTCCTAGAATCAGAGGAAGAAAAAAGTCGTTAATCTTTGAATTTTGTGCTGCCTTCCCATACATCGCACAATTTTATTATTGATATAGTTATTTACATCAACTTTTAAGTTTTTAAATACTTGTAGTGTAATAATAATTTCGTTATTTTCGACTTAACACATCTTACACAACCGGCTTATTAAAATTACGCAGAGCTTGTGCTATGGCAACAAGACTGTTAATAAAATTAGTTCTATATTTAGAATACATATATAAATTAATTAAAAACAAATTATAGAACTCAACACATAAGTGACTCCCGCTCCGGCTCGTTCCTGGGGCAAAGGATGTCTGTTTCAGTTCGACGAGGCAACGCTGATGGTAGCTTTAGACCGGGAGCGATACGGGGCGGGTTAGTAAATTTGACTTAAATTGTGTTAAAAAAGTTTCCTGATTAGAAATTAAACCTGTGTCTTAGCAATCAGATTTACACACCATCAGATCAACAGGCCACTCGTAATAAGTATTTTTTTAACGCACCAGTTAGACTAGTGGTTCGATCCCCACGTGGTGTGATGAGCACGTTGCATTTGTTCTGCATCTGGGTGTAATCTATAATATATATGTATTTAGAAACATATAAGTATGTTTATCAGCAGTCTGGTTACCATAGCCCAGGTTCTGCCTAGTTTGGGATCAGACTGCCGTGTGTGTGAAGTTATTATTATTATCTTCGCAATATTACCAATGAAGCTACGTAGTTGGAGCACAATAAGGATCTTGCGGCAGCATACACTGTAAACAAGGGCCGACAGCGAGCCGCGTGCTTCCCAGTCGAAATGAGAACGTGCGTCCTCCAACCCGCCGCGTGAGAGATTAGGCGAGATATGTACATTGACACTTTCTGTAAAATATAAGTTATAATAATTAGTGTTAGTCGTAGTAACTGTCTTAACGAATGAATATCCTTAATAAAATTTAACATTCAATCCATTGATTTGCTTGATATTTAACCAACTTAGGATATTCTACTTCTTTCTCTTTTGGTTTCATTTAAATTTGAATAAAAAATAGCACATTCATGGAGCGGGCTCATTGAAATCGGTGATACTTTTTAATCGACTTTAGAAACCCCAAAGAAGAGGTTCTCAATTCGTCAGTTTTTTTTTTTGTGTGTGTGGTGTTACGCGATATCTCGGTCAATTGTTTACCGATTTACAAAATTATTTTTGTAATCGAAAGGGTATACCTACTCTCTTTTAGACTAGAAGGTATCTATATTGAGGGTCGCACTTATGTTAATTTTTTTCACTTAGATTTGTATTTTATTTTTTATTTTTAGTGCTTTTTGTAGTTAGTATTGTTTGATTATTTTTCAAAGGATTTATTTTTTAGTAAATAATTAATTAATTTATTTTACTACAACAAACAATTGAATAGATACTTATATTGAAAATTGAGAGATATAACCGCATACGTATTTGATATGTAGTGGACCTACTAAAATTAAAATGTGTTGTTTTTGTTTATAAAGGGGCAAACGATTAGACGGGTCACCTCATCATCATCATCATCATCAACAGCCCTTAACAGTCCACTGCTGGACATGGGCCTCTCCTTAGGAAGGAGGGTTTGGCCTACTATACCACGCTGGCCAGACGGGTTGGCATAGGGTTTGTGTCAAGTTTTCCTTCGGGTCACCTGATGGTACGTAACTACCTCCGCCCACCACCTATAGCCAAAGTCAGTACACAAATCATACACAATACATTTAAATACCATCAGTAGATTTATACCTACAAAAGTTCTTAATCGTTGTTTTTTAGATGCGGTGTAGACATAAATTGTTTGAATTTTCTAACTTTCTTGATGAGAAAATTGGCGCTAACTAAATAATAAAGTAGAATGAGATAAAGAAAGAGAATTTCGAAGACAAGTGTTTGTTCAAACTAGTAAGTGTACTTTGTTTTAGCGATGGGCGAGAACTGAGAAGGCAAAGAAAAACAAAATCTACTAGTGTTGCTCCTCAACGAGAAAATAAAAAATATATTTATAATTGTATCTATGTGTGTATTTGTGTATATGAATATATATAGGTATATGTGTACGTATGTATATATCTGTAAATGTGTTAATCCTGGTATATATACAATAAATATAATAATATATCATTGCCTGTATACGTCTATTCGAAGTACAAATAGTACTGAATAAGAATTCTATCATTTATCCCTATAAATGCACCTACCTCACTCTTTCTCTGCATCGCCCAATCGGTCGACTGGAAGAGAATACCTTAAGCATTAAGTCCGCCGATGCCCACATTTGTGCATAAAGTCATAAATAAAAAAAATAAAAAATACCGGCATATTAATGACTATTTTAGTATTTTAAATTATTTCTTACCTTGTGAGCTATGACATCCCCCTGGTTATCAATATAAAACTGCGCAGTATGTATGTGGCTGAGAGATATATTTAGTTTTCTTCGAAACGGCGATAGCTGAAGTTCTAGCTCCGTTAATTTGAATACTATATCCGCTCTTAATTGTTCTAGAGGCTTGATATTGGCCATGTACAATCTTTGGGTTCTTGTTGCTGTAAAATTTAATATAACTTTTTTATATACGAAAACTTTACATGCCATTATGGTTTGAGAAGTTTTAATAATATTCTTTTAATTAATTTCCTTTATAAAGTTACCAAAAAAGTATGTTGAAATTTGAATGATGTATGATATAACATTATGTTAAAACATTTGTGATATGTCCATACCTAAAGTCTCAAATCTGCCCGCAGTAGTCAGATCTGTTACTTGAGCTGCTATATTTTCCAACTGATCGACAAGAGATGGCAAGTCTTTGCCAACCACTGGGACATTGTAATCCATTCTAAAACAGGAATATTTATAATTAAGTGCATCTACGTATCCATTCTATCTATTCCTAGAGATGTACATAAAAAAAGTTTCCGCAAATCTAGCAAGTTTCATATTAGAACAACAACACACAGTAAAGCCGTTCCAGCATAAAATTACAATCTTCTTAGCAAAAAAAATATAAGCTTACCTGTATTTTGCTATATTAACATCGGATACGATTAACATTTCGTTTAAAAGTTTACTGAAATTAACTGTTATTGTCTTTAATAGGCCAACATTTATGGATGAGGCTAGTTTTTCAAAATTTGATTGCAATTCTTCCCATTCAAAGTATGAAGTTTCCTTGTTAACATCTAATATTCTGTCTAATTGGAATACAATGTAGGCTGGTCGGTCCTTTTCGCAGTCCCTGCGATTTTAAAAAATATCCTCAAATCAATTTTTAATGTTACACATTTTATATTAAGTTAGTTTCAATTATTTGTGTTCAATATGTGGTCGTAAGGTGACTTGCCAATATTGTATTTAGTCTATTTACCTACTTTTAGTGCAAATAACTAGAATGGGTTCACCTGCCTCAACATGTCTTTCACTGAAACGTCTATAGTTATATTCTCCAGTTCTCTGAACATGGCGTCGAAAATACCTTCATTATTGCCTAAAAGTGGTGATGGTCGATCTAGCAGTGCAGTGAGAGTATTGTACTGTGGAGAATCCCATAGAGCGTGGCAAACATAGACCTGAAATTAAAAGAAAAAAAATCTTTCATTGATGCTCGGCTCATATTGGTAGTAGTGTGATTTTATATAGCTATAGTCTAAGAGATTTTATCAATTAGTACTAGTAGTTCCTGATATTAGCGCGTTCAACTAAACAAACAAACAAACTCATCAGATTTATATTATAGAATACATAAAATAATTTTTGTAGTAAGTACCAATAATAGAGATATATATTTGCTTGCAAAACAGTTGTTTAAAACTTGCACAAGTACAGCACACGGGCTTAAAAAGTCCTGCGTTACTAACAGTACAGTCTGTACAATTGCAGATTACTTTACCAAAATACAGTGCGTCAAGTTAATTCCTAATACTTACATCTCTTTTATGAATTAAATGTAAGGTTTTCAATAAGTGATATCTAATTAATATACACCGAAATAAATGTGATCGAACTGATGTGTTTAAGATATTGGAATAAACCTTTAAGTTCATCCAGCTATATAGCGCTAATTAACAATAACACTACACAAAAGATTCTTAAAAGATGAGTCTCTGAACAGTTCCACGAGAAACAACAATCTTGATAAACTTGAAGTTTGTTAGACTGAACACGGTCTTGCGCCCACACAAGTTGTACACAATGTCTTTAAAACACCTTCAAAGAAATGTTCAACAATACACACAAAAGCGATTTTCGCAACTCGGAGAACAGAGGCGTTTTTAGACTGTTTTTTCCCCTTTGATTATCGTGTGTGTAATATATATAGGTAGTTACTTTTATAATGTTTCAAACTTACCTCTGCATGACCTGATATTAGAAATACAGCTGACACAATGCCCCACAATAAGAGAGAGGTAAAGCATAACCAAACCGCTGAACTGTAAAATTAAATTGTACAATTGTATGAGCAATATTTAACAAAAACATTGCATCAAAACTTTAAAAGGCGTTTGAAACAGATCTTAATATTTTTGTGCTTAATATTAAATGAGCTTAATGTTAGAGCTAATGATACCGATGACTATATTTGTTTTAGAAAAAAAAAGTATGTTAGTAATACGATTAAAACTGTGCAACATCTAATACCTGCCAATACCGAAGTAAATATTGTCAGGTATCAGACGTTGCACAGTTTTAATGTCAATGTGAAACATTTGTCTAGTACCTATGATACCTTTTGGAATATCTCACTTTTAAACCCCAGTTAGTAATTTTAATAAAAATAAAAAAGCTCGGTTCTAGAATTAACGAGGAAGTCCTCATCGGGATCAAATTCCTAAAGTGTATTATAGAACGTATGTAAATTGGATTGTTAGGTAGATGTTATATATTTTTGAAAAAGAAAAACATTTTGAACCTGATGTTGTTTTCACAGCTTTTTCTTAAATAAAGAAGAAAACATTTTAAGAAGAATGTAACAGAATTATTTCTAAAGTTTCAGTGTTAAAGTTTCTGAATATTATGAGCAATTAAATGTTATGATCCACATACTTACACCTTTAATGTTCTTCTTCCGTGGTTCTTGGCATTACCACAGCCACAAAGCATAGCCATTAGTATAAGCAACATTACAAAACCGAGAGTAATAAGGCATGCTGGAATAATGATAGTGAATTAGTATCATATACAGAAAAGAGAATTAGATTTAAGATGAGGGATTAAAAAAAACCAAATGAATAAGCATAGAAGTAAAGAAACTGTCGAGTTGTTAGTTTTTGCAGTAAGTTATATAAAGGTCGGAAATATAATATTATAAAGGATTAAAAAACATATTAAACACAAACACTACATAAATAATGATACTTTTTTATAGTTGTTGATAATCTCTTGGCACCGGTCATTATATATTCTAGTTTACATTTATATATTTTATATCCGCTAAGCTTTTAAGTTGCTAGATGTCCATAGTCCAAACTTTACCCAGCATGAATATCCACCGCGCAAACTCATATCTCTGCACTCTATCAAGTCCCGACTCCAATTGTCTCGCGATTGCATGTAGTCCCGATGTAAGATGGCGGACAATATCGCTTAATATTTTAGCAGAACTGTGAACAGCTTGTCTCCTGATTTCTACGTCCCGGAGAATATCTGAAAGTATTAAAATTTTAATTTTGTACGTTCCCTTCTTGAAAGCGATGGATACTAGGAATTAAACAATACCTTCTCTCACATGAGTTGTTTGTGCCATTATCGCTGAAGGCAAAGATTTGAACTCTTGCCGTGCTGTTGATATTGCTTGAGTTAAATTCTCGACTCCTAAGCTGCGCATTTCTAACAGTTGCTCCTGATGAAGGATCTGACATGTGATAGCGATATTTCCATAATTTTTTGGAAAATTTGTTACAATATTTGTATAAAGGAAGTGTTACGTACATAATAATATATTTTAACTTACAATAATAGAAAATCATTTTTATTTACTGCCTAGCGTTCCTAATAAAACAAGTATAGCAATGATGTTATATGCGTATTTCTACAATAAAATTGTACAGGTTTGCACCCTAAATAAATTGCTGTATTTACCAAATTGAATTTCATTTTCAACTCCAAAGAATATGTATTAATGGTGTCACAAAGAGGCGCGTCTTTTAAATTACAATGTTTCTTCAGGTTCTCAAGCTGACGACCCAAGTCTTTGATTCTGTCAGAGGCGACAGAAGCTAAAGTACCTGCTTTGATTGTAACATCTCTAAGCGAAGAAATTTTTGATGACAGGTCTTCACTTTCTGGAATATAAAAAGGTAGTTTAGTATTAATAGGTTAAAACATGATACGGTGAGAAATATTAAAATTGATATTTAAAAACCTAAACCTAGTTTTTTTTTCTTTAGAGCAAACTGTATTTTATAAAGTTAATATGTGAAATATATTAACTTCTTCTAAGTCTTAACTACGTTTCAAGTACTTACACAAAAAGCTTTATTATTGCCAATATAAAAAAATATAGTCCTTCTCACTAGGACTGTGTTCAAGATTCAGATTATATCTCAAGAAATAAATATTTTTGGTTTAAGAATATTGCAGCTATTCCACTGTAATTCCTCTAAAGAGATTTAGATATTTTTATTACTGTTCATTCCCGTAACTTGCCAAGCTCTTCTTATCTTAATAATGTTAACTTCAAATTACCTGTTATAATATCTAGTAAAGAATCGAAAACCAAGTCAATGCCGCTCTCAGAAGATATGGCTTGTTGAATAGGTCCACCCAATAAGGCTTCCACATCTGTAAACGCAAATTATAACAGCATCACACACATGCATTTAATAAAACTATTAAATGCATGTGTGTGATGCTGTTTTAAAATCTCGTCTTATTTCTCACGTTAATTTACAAGAACTTAAAGACAGCTTGTCTTACCCAGAATCAAAACGGAAATGTCATTGTCTTTAGCAAACAATCCTAATTTTAAATAAAAACTAAATTGTTTGGTAACTAATAGATTTTTTCGCTCTGTATTTTTTTTCGTGTTTATACGCCTTTTTCGTCCTGTCCCAACTTGTTGGTTCCAACATATTTAATAGCTATAAAAAAGCTACCAGACTTTGCAGAGGATTTGGTATGGCATGTTTTGATTATGACTTTTTTGCTGATTCGAGAAGTTTTTTACAAAATAAACCCTTAAACTACAAAATAAAAATATAAACCCTTTTGCTCGAGCAACGAGGAGCAAGTGCGGTATTTTCCACGAGCGACTGTATGAACTTGTTGTGTCTTGTGTCACTTAATTACTTTCCAGCCTTTGTAACTAACTTGTACAATTTTGGATATTGATATCAAGTTTCACTTACTTTTTAAATCTTGTTTATATGCATGCAGTACTAAGTCAACGGGTGGTACTAAACTGTGGTGTAAGTCTCTTGCAGCCGCTGCGAACCAGGAAGCAATATCCGAGCATGCACAGCTCACTAAGTCACGTCCTACAGAAGCTGCAGCTCGTGCTTGTTCGTTGCTTACGGCCATGCCAGATATGAGTACACTACGACATATATTGCATGTTTGTGAAAATATGAAAATAGTAACCATATCAAAGTTAGTCAAACCTGTCATTGTCGTCTTGGATATAAAATCGCAGCTAGTTAATCTTATGATTAGATTTTCAACATCTTGATCAAATTCTGTTTATTTTTAGTAGATATTAACCCAATCTCCTTTCTAAGGAGAGGCTTATGTCCAGCAGTGGACTGTTAAAGGCTGTTGATGATGATGATGATGATGAGATATTAATAAATAAGGTCAAAAAGATTTCTTTTTTGATTCTTTGGTTGATCTAACATCATACGGACATCACCAATTGTTGTCCTATTTTTAGCGCAGTATTTTGTACACTGTGTGGTTGGCATAAATAATTAGTACATACTGCTAAAGAATTAATATATTCTTATGCGCAGACAATATTTATTAATCATTTTTTGTATAAATTGAGCAACAAAAAAAAATTAATAACTTCACGAAAGAACTTTCTTATAATATAAGATATCTGCAACCAGCAGTTGAGTAGAATAGAACCACGATTAAAGCTTTTTGAGTTCGTTAGGTAGAGTAGTTATAATGGTCGTTGAACCGCTTTGTTGCAGCCTACTATTTACGAAATAAAATTGAATAGTGTATATTCTGTTATGACTAAATTAGTTCTACTGTAAAAGTTTATGAACACAAACATATGTATGGAAAATATCCAAATGAACTAAATCCGAGTTATGTATGTATGTAAATCAAGGGCATGGCAGTGATCCTGCAGTCGAGCAAAAAAGCACAGCTGTCTTCTTTCTCGAAACTATTCAGAATATTTAATATTGATGTAGATAAAAATAGCAGTCTAAATTTCCAACGAGTAGGAAGGCATTATGTAAGTAGTTAGTATTCATTTCTGTATTCAGAACAACTAGTGGTCGCCAAGTAGTCGAGATTCGACCAAAATTAATAAAAAAATAAGTTTGAACTTTAGTAGGGTTCTTTTGTCAAGGACTCTAAGATAATCAAAGGTTTCATCATATATTACATTTATTATAAAATTAACCTACAGTTTGACCATAGATTTTAACCATGAACAAAAGAGTAAGTATGGTATGTACGTGTGTGTATGTTGTGTGTCATTTCAGCATAATTAATTTAATGTTTTTCTAATGCCTTTTTAGGGTTCCGTACCTCAAAAGATAAAAAAGGAACCCTTATAAGATCACTTTCTTGTCCGTCTGTCCGTTCGTCACCATCGATTTTCTCTGGAATGGGTACACCTAGCAAGTTGAAATTTATACCAGATACTGCGGTACCTATTAGTACTGGTCCCTATTAGGTGTATAAAAATCAAGGTCCTGAGTCAACACGATAAAAATATACTTGTAAATTTCGATTTATCCTGAAAACTTGTAAGTACCAAAATTCACCTTAATTTTCAACTTTTTTATTTTTCAGAATTTTCTCTTTACTTGTGCTGTAAGACCTTGCTTTGAACCAAAATTGACAATTCTAGGTCAACCGGAAGTACCCTAAAGGTTTTGGGTCGAAAACCTATATGGTAGTTCCCGTTGACCTAGAATAACGAAATTTGCCAAAAAGAAACGTCTTACAGCACAAATAAAGGAATAATTCCAAAAACCAAATAAGTAAAAATTAAGATAAATTTTGGTACTAACAAATTTTCGCGAAAATCTGGGTAGGTACGGAACCCTTGGTGCACGAGTTCGACTCGTACCTGACCGGTTTTTTTTATAAAAAAAATAGCTTTATGCACTTCTTCTCCATATAAATTTTAACTGTATCCAATTTCACGTTCATCCGTTTGCGTAATTTTCTTAAATGGCGTACAAACTTCTCGCTTCACCTAATAATATATAGATTTATGCATTGACTTATTTGTCCCGGTTACCATACGAACATCTGTGGCAAACATTACGGACAGTTGGACCCCTACAAAGTCCGAAAATATTTTTTCTACAGATTTTCCATATATACTTCGGTTGTGGAGGCCTGATGGCCGTCGCTCCACATAAAATATCGAAGTTCAGACGTATCGTAGACTTAAAGCCGAAACAACCTAGTTGGGAAAAAGACTCGTAGGAAGTACGTATGCATTGACTTATTTTGTGGGATATAAAGTAATGGTCCAGACGCACAATCATGATTTCCTTCAAGTAGTACTCGCATACTTATTATAATTAAGGATTTTTTCAAGTATTCAAGTAACGCTTAATGTGCTAGCGTTACATTGGGTAATTTATATTCATTTCTAACTTTAATCCACCAACTAAAGTGCGAACTTTTAATTAATTAAAAGATTCGGCGGTGTATATTTGATCGAAAAGGTCTATATATGTTATAAACTCTCGAGTTTAATTTAACTTTTACCAACTTGCGTATTGCAAGTAAGGAAGTTTTATGTTGATACATTTGCGGAGAGGTTATAGGTAGATTACATGCTACAAATATAAGAATTTAAAATTACTGGCATGTAACATACATCCACGGCAACTTTTAGTTTATATTTTATTTTCTTTGTGTTTATTTTATGTCTTTTGATTTTTATTCATGTTCATTAGCACCTGTATTTCACAAAATTCTTAAATTCACAAGTCTGATGTTTAGATGACAAAAAAGGTTTAATAACTAAGACAACAACAACATATTCAAAGTAAAGTTTTGGTACACCTCGTGTCTTTATGTCGTCTCATTACATACCAGAACCTTATAGGCCTTTCGATAGCTTTTTTATTATTTTATAAATTATCTTTAAATGCGTCAACATAATTACTTGAAAATTCTCTTGCTCAATTTATATTGTCTTATATAAGAGAAAGTACTGCCATTAAGAGTTTTCTAAGAAAATACAAGATTAATATCTCACAAACCAGCAAATGAGTACGACGAGTAAAGTAACAACAACCATGACTCGATCGTTGCAATCTGAGTTTTCGGTTTCAGGAAATAAAGCTCCAGTTTCCGTTTCCTCGTCGCACCTGGACCTTGAAAATAAGGACAGTATTCCCAAGACGATCAGGTAGGCAGGTATCACGAGGGCAATACAGGCGAAGGTGATGATAAATGCCAGGAACGTTGATTCGACTTTTATTGACTGGAACAAAATTAAGCACTGTTTTAGAAAATCTCTCTAGACGAAAATTACCGGTTGTACAAAAGACGTGAAAGCATAGAAATTCAGAACCCTTATTTAATATGCTGTACGTCGGTCGCGGCTCAAGTTACGTTAAATTTACAGGTTTACTTTGCTGTTTTCGAAGGAAGATAATTTTCGTAATATTAAAGCACAATTTTGATAAAGTACACCTAATTAATGAAGTCGTGGTTTTAAGTAAATCAAGCGGTAGATTTAGTATTGTAAGTTAAGTTTGTAATGTTTTTCTTTCTGTTCAATTATATCGAATTGAATACCGTAAATCACTAATTTTGTTTGCAACCCGTAAAGTATAATGCTTAATGGCCTCTAAGATAGCCTGATTATTGAACTCTTATTGTATACATGATTATATTCTTGTCACATATACTATTTATTTAGATATACAACTACTAACATACACGTTAGTATTAATAACACTAATGAGACTGCGAATATCTAACTTGAAATAATTAAAATAAATTATTGTGAATCCATCATCCATCCATGGTGATTGCTTGTAATTAAAGTTATTTTTAGATTTAGATTTAATATAATGTTTTAAGCGCATTTATTTTTTGTAAATTTTTGTAGTCGACCAATATAAATTTATAGATGCTTCGCCGATTTTAACTTGTGGAATGTATTCTTATGTATTATATCATTTTAGGGCACAGGAGGCTCCTGCAGCTTCTCCAATGGTACTACGTCATGTGAGTATTATGTTACTACGAATATGACTAAAGAGCAAATACACCGGCAAAACTTCTTATTTATGTAGTATTAATAATTCACATTTGTTATACCTCTGGGATGACTTGAAATAATGAATGTGGTTTTAAATAAAGCATAGACTAAAATTATTCTTAGTTTTTTAAGTACTCATGTATTAATGTATATTTTATTGTAAGAGAGAGAGAGAGAGATTCTAATCGATTATAATTGAAGTTTTGATAGTTAGTGTTAAAATAACCTGTACATCACATTATCTAAACATAAAAAGAAAATACAACACCTAACAACAGCTGCACGACAACAACGAGCTGCATTGTGCGTGCTCGGTCATTCTCGCTCGAGCTGTCGGGCTGTATGGCTCTATGTACAACTGTTGATGAGACCTAGGAAAACATTTTTAATTGTATTTATTGTTGTTGTTGTTTACTACAGCTTTTATAAAGGAAAACGAAGACGCTCTAAATAATGACGTCAGTTTTCCTGACGTCTCTCTATTTAAAAACAACCCAGACATCGGAATGAGTAGAAGAAAAGGATATAATTATAATAATTAGCTAATAGCCACATTCATTTGTATATAAATATATAAATGAATATATATATAAATGAATGTGGCTGCTAGCTAATTATTATAATTATATACTTTTCTTTTACTCATTCCTGAGTACACATCATGACTACCCTTACGCTCTCTACTATCCTCCATTCACTCTAAGGTCTCGCTGGAAGAAAACTCAGTTTTGGGTTAAGCTCGCCTTTGTACATGACATATCCTTGTCACTTATATAATATTAATGTGTATAATATAGAATAAATAAAAAATCCGGACAAGTGCGAGTCGGACATGCCTTGGTACAAACTAAAATTATTGTTAGTTTGTTTATTTAAGGATAAAACATATAAATAATATATGTATACACTTTCTAACCACATCTTTTTTCTTAGTCTTTAACTGAGCGTAATGTCAGAGCCATTAGACACTGATTACGGTTGAGATTCCGTCCTCTTATCCATAAGAGAGAACATTTTTCTAGTTGACAAGATACATTGGTTTTTCCTAATTTCGTAGAGTTTTTGCGTAACTAATATTATCGTATTACAAGGAACGAAATCTATAATATTTAATTTCGTCGTAATCAATATGGATATGATTGCTGATATTCGATATAATATTAAACATTGACGAAAAAAGTCTATAATTTAATTTACTTATTAAAAATATTGTGTTTAAGTGCACTGACACAACTATTTCAATCTCAATTTGAAGGAAGTGGTATTCTTAAGCAAATCGTTGTAAGCAACACTCAATCGGAGAGAGTTCTTTCAATATTGAAACTTAGAGCCAAAGAACGCAGGTTACGCTACTAGTGCTATGCAAAGTAATACCATTCACAGTCAAAATAACTTTAAAGTATATTTAGAGAAACTGAAAAATAAGCAAAGCGATTATAAAAACAGTAGCAGACGCAATGGTGATTTTCATTTAGTTTTAATTGAATTATAAAACATAATAAACAAGATTTAAATAAAAGTTGTTTAGCTTTGAATCATTATTATTAAGTAAACAATATTAAGCCAATACAAATGTTACTCCGGCTAAAACTTGAAAGGCTTATCTAAATTAAATTGTCCTATTTGTACAAGTGCAATTGTGTATGTATATATATATATATATGTTAAGTTGGTTTGTGTACGCTTCAAAGCTCAAAAAGTTTTTCACCAATTGAGCTCAAATTTTGACACGATATATATAACCCTCTTCAAAAACTGTTTTTATCTATTTTTCGCACCAGTTTTTTTCTTATTGCTCTTCAATGGAACCACAATGTGCCACAGCAAAAGGTGGCAGGGTATAGCTAGTTTATTATAAAGTTGTAGTTAGTAATGTACGTACATGATTCTCACCATCCTAGACTGTATTCTCTCAGTAATTACTCACATAATCAACTTCTCTCTTGAGTCTAATACCTTCCCCTCTTTGTGGCGCAAGGCTTATATTATTCCTCTACCAAAAAATAATAACCCCTCACTTCCTGAACACTTTCGACCTATTTCTATTCTTCCCTTTCTATCTAAAGTACTCGAGGCCTGTGTACATAAACAGCTCTCTCAATTTGTATACAGAAACCAACTTTCAAGCCCTCTTCAATCTGGCTTCAGGCCCGGTCACAGTTACCGCTCTCCTTAAAGTGACTGGCGATATTAGAAAGGGTATGGAAGACACCAAAGTCACAGTATTGGTATTAGTTGACTTCTCTAATGCCTTTAATACCGTCAATCACGAAATCCTGTTATCTATCCTTACATATCTTATGGTTCCTTCTGAGACACTGGAATGGTTCTCTACCTATCTTCAGGGACGACAGCAATGTGTTCGTGTTGATGATAGATCATCAAGTTGGTGCGACCTCTACGCTGGCGTCCCACAAGGCGGCATTTTATCTCCTCTTTTATTCTCAATATTTATTAATCTCATAACTCAACATCTTCAGTGTGCGTGTCACCTGTATGCCGATGATCTGCAGCTGTATTCGCAAGCAAGAGTGGAGGAACTAACGCAGGCTATTGACGAAGTGAACAGGGACATAGAGGTTATAAAATCCTGGTCGATGAGATTTGGACTGTCGATTAACCCAACCAAATGTCAGGCAATTGTAGTAGGCAGCAAACGTTTAATGAGCACATTGGATACTACCTCTATCTCACCGGTCGTCTTTAATGGCACAGTTATTCCATTCAGCCCTACAGTCAAAGACCTGGGCTTGCTCATCGATTCAACCCTCGATTGGCGAGCTCAAGTTACTAGCGTGAGCCAGAAAGTAACTGGAAACCTGCGAACATTATATCGTCTAAAGAATTTCCTGCCTCCTAAAACTAAAACCACACTCATGCAGTCCTTAATAATTCCAATAATTGACTATGGTGATGTATGTTACTTCGACCTGAATGCAGACTTTCTTAATAAACTGGACCGTCTTCTCAATAACTGCATTCGATACATTTTCAATCTTCGGAAGTATGACCATGTGTCTGCTTTGCGCTCTTAATTAAACTGTTTACCTATTCGCCTGCGTCGCCATCAGCGTGCACTTACCTCTCTATTTTCACTCTTAAACTCACCGACCTCACCTACTTACCTCGCTCCCTACCTGCGTTACCTGTCCTCTAATCACGACTGAAATCTTCGCTCAGAAAATAATCTGCTTCTCTTATGTCCCTCCCACAACTCCAACTTCGTGAACTCTTCGTTCTTTGTTCAAGCAGTACTACTCTGGAATGCGCTCCCGCTCGAAATCAGGATGTCCACTAACCGTTTTGTATTCAAAGAGAAGGTGCATGATCTCCTTCTTAATAAAATGGCAGACCTACCCAGTCCATAGTACACCTCATATTCCGGTATACATAGTGTACGAATATAACATGTATATTTATAGAGATATATATATATATATATTTATATATGTATGCGTATGATGTGATGTGTTGTATGTGTGTATACGTGTATGTATATGTATGTAGTGAACCGTGTATATTTCTATATATCACATGTCATAATATGTAATCTCTGTGCACCTACCTTATATGATTTCTACACCACCCAAAGGTTGACTGGAAGAGAATGCCTTGGGCATTAAGTCCGCCGATGTACAAAAGTGCATAAAGTTTGAAATAAATATATAAATAAATGAATAGAAAAATTATTTTGCATTGCAAAAGTAGTATGATGAGTAAAAAATGTTCATTATTTTCTATTGTCCAGATGCAAGTAAGTAAGGGTATTGTATTGGAGGTGGATGCGAGTAGCCGAAAACCGATACAAGTGGCGCGGCGTGCAATAGGAGAGGCCTAGTCCCGCAGTGGACTGCGATAGGCTGATGATAATGAGGAACTCTATTGTCATGATTGTTATTTTCCAAATTTTAGTTTGTAAGTAGGTATCGTGTGTAGTGTATAGTGGTTCTACTGACTGTTGTTTATGTATTTAGTTAAGTTTTAGTTTATTGTCGTTCGTCGTATCGTTGTTAATCACATGAGAAGGTTCGATTTTAATCACTTAAAGTAACAACGTGTCAGAGGATTATGTCACAAGTATCTTATGACACGTCACGTTTATTCAGGTGTAAATAATCCTTAGTGAGGTCAAGCTGGGTTAGATATTCGCAGTATTCATAGGTACATATTTTATGAAAGCAATTATTAAAAGTAAAAAAGGGTGTACTGAGTTGGTATTAATACTTCTACTATATTCTATATTATCTGCATGATCACACACTTCGAAATAATATCTAATCACATCAATCTAAAAAGAAAAGTGAAGAAAAAACCATAATTAAAATAATTTCACACATCTCTCACACACTGTAGTCTAATACCAATCTAGGCAGAGCCAGTGCTGTTATACCCAGACTGCTGATAAACATACTTCAATATTTCTAAATACATACATATTATAGATATATTACACCCAGATACAGAACAAATGATAGTGCTCATAACACAATATTTGTCCTGGGTGGGAATCGAACCCACGACCTCCGCCTTAGCAGTCAGGGTCACCAACCACTAGATCAATATACAGAACCCGTCAAATAGAAATATAGTCGGAACTGTATTTGAAGTTGATATAAATTCTTCTGAATTTGAAAATTGTGAAGATATTAGACATTATATGCAATAACTGATATCTGAGAGCCTTGGAAATTTATTTTCAGGACGTTACAAAATCATAGACAAGATAAACATGTAGAAAAGCCAATATTGTTAGGCGACGCATTATCGCCGTACTTTGAGTGGACAGGGGCTATCGTGTTGCAGGAAACGATCCTTTTAAAATGTCAATGCCTTGTCTTTTAGTATATGAAAGTGAAGTTCAATACACGTACACATCGATGTAATCTTTGTTTTTTATTCTGAACGATATATTTGTTTAAACATTTTTGTTTGTTTAACCGTGAAATAAAACTTTTTCTATATAATAATTTGACTAGTCTACTGCTAGTCAAATTTTTAAAAGATATATTTTGGCAATGTCTTTGTAATTCATAATAGCTTACGGTATTAAATGTCAATAAAAATACTGTATTGTCAGGAAAACTTGTATATTTAGGCATTTTATCAAGGATATACTTACCGGCTGTTATTGTTATAAATTTATTAACCCAAATGACCGGTTTGAGATTGTGCATTTCGTGAATCAAGTGGTGTTTTATAAGTAACTTTAATTATATAGGACGTTCCGCATATTTGTCAGTGCATATAGAGAGTGAAACAGTAGTACACGGCTTTAGATACGTGTATTATTGATAAAATAATTGTAAAAATGTTTAAGTTTATTTTATACTATTCTATAGTATTAGTTATGGGGGTATGCAGTGGATCAGCTCGGTTGGCTCGTGAGTATTGATTAAAATAAAATAATAACCTCATCCATCTCACACAAGGCTGCCTGATTCCAAACTTGGCAGAAATTACCTCAGACAAAGAATAAATGATCGTGCTCTGCTCACAATTATTTGCCCTAGGTGGGAACCGTACCCACGTATCTCACTAACCTCCAGACCAACATAATAAGTATAAATGAATAAGTATGTTAATGTATGGATATTATTAATACAAGCTTTTTTCGGCGGTTTTGTTTTCGTGAATATAGATTTTTCGGATCAATTAAATTTTCTTTTGTGTTTTTTTATTATTCTGGTACATTTATTTAAAATTAGTTTTTGTGAGAAAGAATCTTGTTCAACTGCCTACAGGTCTTTCTTAAAGTTCATTCGAGAGCGAAGTCGATAACGCATTAATGAAAATAGAAAAGTAAGAAACCAACTTTGAACACTTTTGATTTCAAAATATATTATTTGTCATTAGCGTCCTACATCAAACCATGTCCTGGACTAACTGCAGAGTGTTTAAAGAAGACAGTACAAGAAACACTTCCACACTTCGCGGCAGGTATTCCAACTCTTGGAGTAGAACCCATCGACCCACTAACAAAAGATCACGTTGCCCTTACTCTGCCAGGAGAATTCAAAATAGAACTGAACAATGGCTCTATGACGGGGATAAGGAAATGTAATATAGATTCTGTGACGTAAGTGGTTTATTTATGTACTAATTATTTGGACCCACATTATTGAAATGTATCTTATAGCTCATAGTATTACCAGTAATTGTGTTAATAATAGCTACAAACAATACCCTAGGTAGTGTCAATTTAGGGTTTAATGTTAAATGCAATGAAAATGTCTCTTAAATGCAAAATTATCTTTTTTTTTGTTAATTAAAAAAGTTTGTAATTGCTTTATCATCATAAATTGTATATCGAAGGATAAAAGAGCGAACTTTAAAAATACGCTTATACTTTCAAGTTTAGCCTTGAGAGCATTAAAACACCTCAAAGGAATTTTAAGGTTGTATTAACAGACAAAAGTGCCTTTGAGATAAACTTACAAATACAAAATTTACATATTTACCGACTCGTATCTCTAATATTTAGGTTCGTAGTGTAAGTGCGAAATATGTCAGTAATAATTGATTTCACTTTCAGATACCAAAAAGACGAAGCTGATTTAAAAATGCATTGTAATCTTACTGTAATGGGCAGATACAAAGCGTATGGTAGAATATTGATCGTGACTATCAACGGGGAAGGCGACGGAAAAGTTAAAGTTAGTGAGTATCATTGAAATGAAGCAGATTACGAACTCATCCACATAGTGCTATGTTTAAAGTGCCTAAGACTTCACCCGCGTGTAATGGCACTGGCAATAGTCGCCATTTTATCGATATTGATGTGAATATTTTGAAGATCCTAATCTCACAATTCATTATTTTATATATGTCTTGTACAGTAAGTACCAAAATATCTCTATAATGATGATGTTTTCTACTTACTATTGTTATATTTTTGTGTTATTCTGATGTACAAGATTCATTACTGTATAGTTTCATAAAAAATCCTTTAGTAGTAAAAAAAATTACAAACATCACAAACCAGAGAGTTTAGAAACTGAAATCACAATTTACAATCAAGCTTTTACATTATTGAACTGCGTAATGATGCGTTAAAACTTTGAAGGTCTATTTAAATGTTTACAAAATGTATCGTTACAGGAAATGCCTTTCTGCATGCCAAAATCAGATTTGATAACAAAGTCCGGGATGGTATAACATACTACGAAGTCAAAGATTTCGACACTTCGTTTACATACGGTGATAAAGTAACTTTTGTTTTAAAAAACCTCTTTCAAGGAAACGCTGAGTTGAGTGAGTATGATATCAGATACTTTTAAACTTCTGCTGACTATTACACAAGCCTAAAGATATACCATATTAAAAAAAACATATAAAAAAAAGCTATGAAATAAAAAGTTAGTAATAATGTGTATATAAAATCCTGCTCATAAAGGTTTACCACAAGGAACAAACATTGTGTAATTGTGTTTAAATATATTATATTGTTTCGTTATATTAAAATTTATGATGTACGTAGCAATATTTATTCTCTACATATACTAAGAAATACAAAGGCTATACGAGTAAAATTAATTTATATTCGTTAGGTTTAAAGGACTGCAGGCCTACTGAAATTAATGACGGACAAATGATTGTGATAACATTTCTGAAGAAAGTAACATTAAAGTATGTTATTACATTTTATATGTTATAATTATATTATTATTACACATTTATTCATAATTTAATTTTAATCGGCAAAAAATGGTCTAAATATCTTTTTTATTATAGTTTCAAAATTTGGCATTTTCTGTAGCATGTTATGATTCAGTCATTTAATCATTTTTCCAGGTGAAGCTGTTTTACTATTTTTAAATGAGAACTGGAAACAGGTAACTGAAGAGTTTGGTAGACCTATAGTTGATGAGCTTATCGATATTGTTTATAAAATAGTGAAAAAGTTCTTTGAAGTTGTTCCCAAAAATGAGTTGTTTGTGGACTAGACTGAAAGGCGTGATAGTATTTAAGGATTTTATAGAATTTGGGATGAAGTAATGCATTGTATAAATAATTATAGTGACGTCATTCGTCATGATAACTTAATAAAATGATTATCCTGAAGTATTTTGTTTTAGAAACAAAAATATTAAAAAGTATTCACAAATGAGATAAAACGATAATTTAAATGTAATTGCCGTTGTTTTTTTATTATTACAAAGAATAAAAATAAAGGATCTTAATTAATATTTGTTCTTATTTTGTAATACAGAACTTACCTGTAAAAAGGAGTAAGGAAAAGTGAAGTCTCCCCACACAATGTCCTTGATGAGACCTTAAACAAAAAAAAAAACAAATTCTTAGTTTCAAAATATTTTTTGATATTATCTTATGAATGTTAAACAAAATATATTTATGTGTCTGCCTGTCGTCCTATTGGACAAACCTTTTTAGTTATTTTTATTTAAAAGATCGATTACACGGTCAAGGATATTCTTTTATATATTTTTTTAATAATTTTTGAATCGGGATTAGTTTATAATCTTAATTTATACACGTTACAAAGGGTTTTAATACTTTGACTTAAATATTAAGTCAAATTGTATTCTTGATTTTTTGTAGTAAAAAATTTGGAGTAGAAAGTACAACACTTTCAATTGTTATTTTTATATTTATTCATTGATAAACTTTGAGAATTCGGAATACAACATAAAAAGGTATCATCTAAATATTTTGAACAATGCGTTGATACGACCTTAATACAACAGTGTTCATATAAAAAAAAACACAAATAAGCTGGTACATACATACATATATCTAAAAATTTGTCTATAGTATCAGTTTAATACGAATAGTAAGTCTACGTAATGAGATCATCTACGCGACCTCATTGTAAACGAGTAGAACGTGAAGCCTTTTGATATTGTAGCAGTGAGGTGTGTGCCAGTCTTATCTGTATAGCTATAGTATTATTTACATGGTATAACTTTGTAGGGAAGTAATAATGAAAGTTTGCCTATTACCTTACCCGGGAACACGTAAATAGGCATGTATGCGTAATGGCAGATGTTTATGATACTTTTACCTTGATTTAAAACTAGTACTCTAGGTAAACGAAGAGTTTTTATCTGTTCGTGGGATAAATTTGAGTTTTTTCTTATACATAATATATACATTTAATGAGTCGAATGGGTTAGCCGGTTAAAATTATTCATAGAAAATAATAAATGGGATATGCTACAAAGTGTTTGGTAATTTTAGCAACTTTTATTCAGATAAAGAAATTTTTATAAACTGTTTTATGCGGCGCGGCGGTAGTTTAGGCGGCTGCCTTTCTGGGTTCCATTATAAAAATATATTAAAAATATACCTCACACATCTCACACACGGCCGTCTGATCCCAAACTAGGCTGTGCTACGGTGACCAGACTGCTGATAAACATACTTATATAATTTGTGGGTGGGAATCGAACCCACGACCTCCGGCTTAGCAGTCAGGAGGTTTGGGTGTTGCCTATTTATTTTTTTATATATATATATATATATATATATATATATACATTTATATAATAATATATATCTTATATATAAAATTCTCGTATCACAATGTTCGTTCCCGTACTCCTCCGAAACGGAAATCCTTTTTCATACCCCTAAATGGTAAGGGTGACCCATCCCTATTTTTTTTTTTGTTTTGCAATACAACGTTTGCCGGGTCAGCTAGTATATATATATGTATTTAAAAAAATGTACATATATGTTCTAAGATATTATTGTCTGTCAATGATACGAAAGTAGCATAGATCATGTTGAGATGCCTTTCAATAAAATATTTTCTTTTTAACCATACCATAACCAACATGTTAATCGGTTTATTATAATATGTATGCACATATTTTTGACTACTGTTATAATTATATGATCGTATTTACCTATATATGATATGCATATGAACTGTAGTTAAAAGAAAATTTAGTGAAATATTTAATTATCAACTTATTTGTCAAAATTCGTTTGAAAACTCACACAGGAATATAAATATGTTTCACCTAAGTCATTCGTAGCTTCAATGTTTCCTATTATCCTAAGCAATATAATAAATAAAAAATTATAATTCAATGTTTACTTACCTACTGGGAAATCAAACGGGTAAATTAGATAAAAAAACTCCGACATGAAACTAAAAGGATGAAATGCTTCATCTAGTTTCAACGACGGCAATAAATATTTTTCTTTCTGTGGCAGGCCCCCAAATCTTATTTTACTCCCGTCTTTTTCCTCAAACCAGTCTTCGGTGTAACTATCCCCTATATCACTGTCTGTTGTTATATCATCTGTTGTGTTAAAAATATTTACTTGTTCTTTAAAAACTTCTCTGGTAATGGGTATAATTCTAATAGTCGATGTCGGCAATACTGTTGAAATACTGGTAGGTGTCCCAGGCATTTTCTTAACCAGAGATGTGTCAGATTTTTGTGGACGTCGTTCTTCCGATTTTGAATTTAATAAGTTGTTATATTTTTTCAACCAAGCTTGTCCAGCAGTAGAATTCAAATTAAAATTTCCAGTATCTCTTTTTTGCCACAAACCAATTTCCTTATTATCCTGATAATAATGATCATGATTGTCGTTTTGCATATCTTGGTTTTTAACATCAGTTAATGGACTATCTTTAAAACTTGTTTCTAAACAGTTATCCCATACTAGGGATTCCGATTTTATAGCAATTTGATTGTTTTTAGTACTTTCTAAGTAATCATCGTTATTCCTCGCGATGTTTTCATTAAAAAATAATTCGAAATTTCCTGCGTGGCTGTGATTTTCATCATTAGATTTCTTGTTTTTCTGTGAGAAAATTGTAAAGATTGCTTGGAAATTCTTTTCTGGGACATCTAAAGAGGTCGATGTGGTGCTGCCAATGGCATTAAGATTGTTTCCGGTGGGGGCCGCGGGCGTCGTTTCCGATGGCGTTTGAATCTCTTGGTTTTGTGTCTGCAAAATTTTTGTACCCTTAAGTCGCTCTGATAAACTGTTTACTTCACTTCCTGCATTGAACGTAGCGACACTTGTTTGTAAGTTGACTTGATTTATAAATATCGCAAGAATTATTAGAGACATTGCCATGACGAAGTCATATTTTGTTTATTTTTATTCAGTTAATGTTACACGACTGTGTATCGTAAGAGTATCTGTAGCGGACTGAGTGGAGGGGCCCGCTACATTGAACGGGGGATTTGTAGCACTTAGTAGTCTGCCCAGCGGCGTTGCACAATCGTATCACGACACTTTACTTCCACCTTTACTAGATTATATAAAGAGTAGTTTTTCTGTTTTCACTTATTTACACAAGTACTTAATTCTAAGACTACTTAATTAGGGTATTTTTTTGTAACAGTCTTCGTTCAAAAAGGAGTGTTTTGAAATAAATGCCAAAAAAAACTAAATTTAACAATGCATGTAAGGAGTGTTTTCTAATATAATATTTAGGAACAACTGGAAAAATAAATGTCATTTCAGCTCTATGAGAATATTTAGAAGATTCTCCCTGTTATTATGTATAATAATATTTATGATATTAATAATATTTTTCGAACATCAAACACACATCGCCATCTAGTTTTGAACTAAGCAGAACTTGTACTATAAAAGCTAGATTGACTGATAGAATACTTTTTTTTTAAACTTACATATTATACATAGAAAACCCACAAACTCCGAAACAAATATTTGCAGGTCATTTGGTCCGGAATCGAACCCAAAACCTCAGCACAGCAGTCGCATACGCTGCCACCGCAACACCGAGGCAGACTTTACGATTTAAACTAGTTAATTAATGTTGGGAAAGTCGTGCTTGAGCACAAATTGGATCTAATTCTGGGAATCAAAAGGTAGCAGTGCACTTCACACTCTAGAGTTGCAGGCATCCGTGGATATCGGTAACCATTTGCTATCAGGTGACCCGACTGCTCGTTTGGCCCCTATGCCATAATAAAACACCAGCCAGCAGACTGACGTCTAAAATCTTCAGGGTCCTGATTTGTCTAACGGTTATATTTAATTTCTCATGCAAGGAAAATGTATAAACCCGTAAAAGGGAATGTATCCGCGTTTATCAAAATCCTTGGACATAAACAAGCTGGACAAAGGAAAACTTAAAAATACAGTAGATTAAGGTAAAACCAATGAAAATAGAGATAATCCAAGATTAAAGAAAATGTCTGGTTTGAAATTGACGGATTATGTTTACAGTTAACCATCATTTATTATCAGATTAAGTTAGTAAATTTTATTCACTGCAGACTAAAAATTCTTTGTAGGTCTCAATTTCGTTCAAATATATTGGCGTCTTGAATTAAAACCGTTATTTACTAGGTAGGTTACTACATACATTTTGAGACACGCAAAAAGTAAACAATGTATACTTACAATTTATATTCTCCAATATATATATTTATATTTTTTCAAAATATTCTCCATAGAGAGTGTCTATACAAATTTCCATCCGCCTAAACTAGTCTTGAAAACACTTATTCCAGTTTTCCTCCGACAGGTTAAAAATTGCTGATTTGTAGGCACTTGAAAAAAACCTGTCCTTTTATCTGATCTTTTATGTTGGGGAATAACAAGAAGTAATAAGGAGTAAGTCGGGTCTTTACAATTTTGTTGGCAACGGCCCATCTGGAAACATTCATAACGAGGAACGCTTCTTGCTTTCCCTATCATATTGAAATATCCATGTTTCTTCACCAGTAATGATTTCAAAAACACGTCCTGACCTTCCAATTTCAAAACGTAGATGCTTCTCATGTCACCATTCGCTTTTATTTTGTTTCGGAGAGTAAACGAGGTATCCAACAGACAACAAAGCTTCCTCATTCTAAGATATTTAGATAATATACAAGTAGTATGAACGCTAACTGAACTGATGCCTAAGATTTCCTTTATGTCACTGTATGCACAACATCACAAAACACCTGTATCAAAAGCATTTCAGTAGTCGACATATTTTTAGCAGTGACTGCTGGTGGCGGGCGTCTACGTCTGTCATTATCTTCTAGGCTAGTTTTACCCATTTTAAATTCGTTGAACCATCTAAAAATTTCCCCGAGGAGCAGACTCGCCTAAAATTGATTTTGAACATCTAAGCTTAACGTTCAGATAAACCACATTTAAAGTCGTAATATTATATATCACACCACGCAAATGTTCACGTTTAAACTCCATTGTAGCAGATGAAATAGCGGAAAATGATGACAGTATATTTTTTCTTCTTTTTTTCACTTCTAATTTTTTAATTTTTTTTATTGCTGTAAATAGCCTTTGATGTTAGATTTTCAAATAAATTTGCCTTTTAATAATATGACACATTCGCGTTCCATTTTCAACTTTAGAGCATCACAAAACTTATATAGTGGCCTACGTATCTAATAGAACATCTTGATCTTCACAACTTATTTTTTTATTAATTAGTAAATATATAAATAATATTTACCGATAAAGTTATTTTGCTTCTATATGTAGTGCAATAAATATTTGTTGATGAAAAATGTTAATTTGCATTAATCTGCATGATATTTTTATTTACTTCTATGTTTTACCTATGTATTTACAAAAAGATATTTAAGGTATTTCTGTAGCCAATCCTTTCCACCCCTGCAGATGGGAGATAAGTCGTTGGCCTATGATGCCAAGGAGAAAGCCGATCTCCTAGGCAAACTCTTTATATCCAACTCGATTTTGGATGACGGGGGAAACGTACCGCCGACCATACCGCGGTGCCAGAGCTTTATGGGGCAAATCCGGTTCACACAAAAATCAGTGCGTAACGCACTCTTTTCCCTCGACATTCATAAATCGAGTGGGCCCGATTAAATCTCTCCTATCTCCTAAAAAGTGACCGCTCTGAATCGTCCAACTACAGGCCTATAGCCATACCGACACTATGGTTTTCAACGGGGTCGCTCAGCTGTTGATCTTCTCGTCTTTCTAACAAACCGGTGGGCACAGGTGATCGAGACAAACTTGCCTGAAATTGAAACTTCCTTAGCTGAGGTTTCAGATTAGGACCAACTAAATCTAGTCCCTACTTCAACCCAAAAAGACACAGGTCTGTGCGTTCAGTGCAAAGAAGATACCATTTGTTGTATCAACTCGGTTTGAGAGCTCCTCCCTAACTGCATCAGCTAGTATCGGAATCTTAGGCATCGACATATCGAGCAAAGTCCAGTTTCAGGGTCACTCACACAATCTAGGTAAGGTCACATTGGTACTAAACAGATCGAGGCAGTATTTCACTCCGGCCTCAGCTCTATAAGGCGCAAGTCCGGCCACATATGGAATACTGCTCTCATGCAGGGGCACCTTAGTACCAGCCTCTCCCTCTGGACCACATCCAACGAATTCGAATCCAACGAAATCAACGAATCGTGGATAGGCCAAACATCTCCGATCGGCTCGATTCCTTGGCGTTACGTAGAGAAGTGGCTTCACTCTGCATTCTCTATCGCATATATTATGGAGAGTACTCCGAGGAATTGTTCGGACTACTACCGGCCGCAACTTTACGGCACAAGTGAAACATCCGAAAAAAATATTTTCCATACAAATAAATAAAATTGTAGTTTCTGTTTGTAATGTCAAAATAATAGGTTTTTTTAATGCGCACACTTTTATTGCACGATACCTATGCCTAAAAACCAGTTAATTTTATTTGTCTGTCTGTCTTTCTGTTTGTTATGGGTAATAAAAATAAATAATAAAAATAGCATAGACGAAGACGCGTGCGGAAGCTTGTAGTGCCACTTTTTGCGCTCTCTGTACAAATGCGTGTTTGTGACGTCACCGCGTTCGGGTCTAAAGTTATGACACTCGCATTATAACACCCTAATTTAACGCGATCAGAGGTACCGAATAATGCTGACCATAACCTACAACAACCGATGTCAAAATTTCGAACAAGTACGACTGCGACCGAACGACGAATAAATGACACATATTCTATCTTATTATCTCCTATACATTTATTGTTTGTTTCTTTATCGTGATGCATTTTCGTTTCATTGAGTTTTAAGTCACAACGATTCTAAAGAAGTTTCTCTTCAAAAATATTCCTCGATTGCAGCTAATTTGAAGCCAAGCCTATCAAGCACTTATTTGGCTTGGCACCGCCTTCAAAAAGACTAGAAGGGACTATTGTTATTATAATGAAAATCGGTATAAAATTGACGGAGATTTCGCGTAACAAACATACAAAAAAAGAATACAGACGAATTGATAACCTCCTCTTTTGTTTTTTTAAAAAGAGTAACTTTTAACGGCACATTTTTAACCAGGAACCTCTCGGTCAACATTCAACAGTCGATAACCGCTAATATCTAAAATCTCATATAAAATGTATGCAATAGCATATAACCTACATCGTTATTACCAGGAAAGTGGTTGTGCCTCGCCTTTTACCTACGTTAATTTAAAATCGAGCGTACGTAAGTCCCCTGAAATTTTCCCCTGAAGTTCCTTTAAAGAAAATTTCATCTAAGATTTCTTGTCCTTGTCGGAAAATGAGTTTAGTTTGCTGAGGTAGATTTAAAATATTGTCGTCAAACCCACCTTTGGTAAAAGTTTTCAATGCATGAGTAAGTACCTTATAATAAATCTATAATGAAAGTAAAGATTTTTGTTTGATTACCGGAACTATAAGTGTCACGCGACTCCGTACTCGTACGTTCTCATATGACGAAGGACAAGCGCAGCGTTCCGAGCTGCACCCTAGTTAAATGTTCTCCACATACTACGGCTACAACTCTCAAAGCCTCTGAGTTAATGTTTTTTTGTTACCAGCCTTTTAGAAAGGATTACGCTCTTTTCTTGAAGGTTTGAAGGTCGTATCGGTCCGGAAATACTGCAGACGATAACCCGTTCCACAGATTGGTTTTGCGAGGCAAAAAGTGTCTCGAAAAGCACACACTAGTGGAGCGCCAAATATCCAGGTGATGGGGATGAAATTTTTTCCGTGTGGAACGATGGCGGAAAGTTGCGGCCGGTATTGGTCCGAACAATTCCTTGGAGTACTCTCCATGATATATGCAATAGAGAATGCAGAGTGAAGTCACATCTCTATGAATTGCGAAGAGATCGAGCCGGTCAGAGAAATCTTTTTGTAAATCAATTACAAACTATGAAAGCGACTATACAGTTTCACTCCACCGATTGACTATCGGACCGTTCACGTGTTAACGCACGAGACCAATGTCTCTGACTACGTTAAATTGGTAGGTAAGAGTATTCATTGGGAAATTTATAGGTTGTGTATCATCACACTAGCAGCCAGCGGAGTATTGATCATAAACATAGGTGAAACTCCCGGGCACGACTAGTAAAACTATAAAATCAAAATGTTAAAAGCCAAAAAAATTACTATTATTGCTGTATATAATGTTTGTGCTGTATATGATATCTATATATATAAAAGAAAGTCGTGTTAGTTACACTATTTATAACTCAAGAACGGCTTTACCGATCTGGCTGAAAATTGGTGGGGAGGTAGCTTAGAGCCAGGAGACGGACATAGGATACTATTTATTCCGTTCGACAGTGTTTTTTTTTTTTGTTTTTTACGAACTTTGCTTTACTCGGAGATGCCACGTTATTATACTTGGAATGCTTCGAATTTTCAAAGACGGAAGCAAGGCGATGCGGTTCCTGGGTATCCGGATGTGCGTTCTACTGATGCTCTTGGTCGTATTTATACAGTTCATCCAAAGAATGATGAATGTTTCTGTTTGCGGTTGTTGCTGGTAAATGTGCGTGGGCCAACGTCATTTGAGACACTACGGACTGTTAATGGTGTAATATTCCCAACATATCGTGCTGCATGTGAAGAACTGAACTTATTAGAAAACGATACCCATTGCGATACGACAATCGCTGAAGCCATTATCTCTGCATCTCCATGTCAGATACGCACATTATTCGCTATCATAATTTCGACATGCTTTCCATCAAACCCATGTAACCTGTGGCACAAATATAAGGATAATATGTCAGAAGATATTTTACATCAAATTAGTATCACTTCCAGAAATCACGATGTTGAGATGAATGAGGAGATACATAATCGTGCTTTACTCTTGATCGAAGATATGTGTTACCTCATGTGCGGTAGTTCATTAATCAGGTTAGGAATGCCAGCGCCCAATCGTGAAATGAATGACGCATTTAATCGAGAATTGGAACGGGAACGTGAATATCAGGAATTAGATTTAGTAGTTCAAACGAATGTACCCCTGTTGAATTCCCAACAAAAGGAAGTTTATGATACTTTAATGAAGGCAATCGATGATGGAAATGGTGGTTTATATTTCCTAGATGCCCCTGGGGGAACAGGTAAGACATTCCTCATGTCAGTAGTTAAAGCCACTGTTCGGGCGAGATCCAACATAGCGGTTGCAGTTGCTTCTTCTGGAATAGCAGCCATATTGTTAGAATGATGCCGTACGGCTCATTCAGCATTAAAATTATCGTTAAATCTTCAAACTATTGAAGAACCAACGTGTAATATTACGAAAAATTCAGCAATGGCCAAAGTTTTATCGGCATCGAAAATCATCATCTGCGACGAATGCACAATGGCGCATAAACGTGCATTAGAAGCACTTAACCGAACATTGAAAGATTTACGGAATGACTCGAGATGTTTTGGAGGAGCAATGATTTTACTGTCTGGCGATTTCCGCCAAACACTGCCAGTAATTCCAAGATCGAGACGAAATAAACGCTTGCCTCAAATCGTCGAATCTATGTCGCTATGTGAAGAAACTGCAGCTGACAACAAACATGAGAGTTGCATTGCTTAATGATACATCTGCTGAAGATTTCTCTGAGCAATTGCTGACTATCGGTAATGGTCAAGTACCTGTGGATGAATCGAGCGGATTGATATCATTTCCAAATAATTTCTGTAATTTTGTCTCATCAAAAGGCGAACTTATCAACAATGTATTTAAAGACATTATTTCTAACTACAAAAATAATGAATGGTTGAGTGAGCGAGCAATTTTAGCGGCTAAGAATAAAGATGTAGACGACCTGAACTATATAATTCAAAATAAGATCATTGAAACAATGCATTCATTCAAATCTTACCAAATTCGTATCACTTCATGAAGATGAAGCCACCAACTATTTGAATTGAATTGAACCAATTGAATTTTTAAACTCCTTGGATGTGCCTGGCTTACCACCGCAAAATTTACGCCTAAAGGTTGGCTCCGTAGTAATCATGCTTCGAAACATAAACCAACCAAAACTGTGCAACGGTACGCGTTTGGTGGTTAAAAAATTGATGAACAATGTAATTTACGCGACGATATTGAAAGGAAAATTCAAAGGTGAGGAAGTTCTCATTCCGAGGATCCCGATGATCCCAACCCATTTGCCGTTTGAATTTAAAAGACTTCAATTTTGGATCCGTCTTGCATTTTCCATGACCATCAACAAATCACAAGGCCAATCCTTAAAAGTTTGTGGTTTGAATCTAGAACATCCATGGTTTTCCCATGGTCAATTATATGTGGCATGTTCACGGGTCGGAAGACCATCTGCGTTGTTTGTTTTTACGCCTGATAAGAAAACAAAAAATGTCGTGTATCACAAGGTACTTAAGTGAAGAGCAACCTATGTACTGAAATGCAGAAACAATAATAAATGATTAATGTACTTCATTTTTTTTTCTAAGAAAAAAATTAACTTACTAAATTCGAAAATCGGCTTATTTATTGCCTTTAAGGCGGAACAGAGTTCGCCGGGTCAGCTAGTTGAAAATAAATTCTGATATCTTTATAATGTTAATACCAGAATATAAAAAATGAATTATATAAAAGTGACACTGACTTCAATGTGTCAAGATCATTATGAAATTGTAATAATCTGTATTCTTGGTTCATTAATTTCAAGAGAGAGAGAACCAATTTTTTTGGTAAATTTTCACTAGGACTAAACGATTAGTCGGTTAATAAGCGAAAGTGCTATATAACGATGCTGCGTAACAAATTTATATTTTACTCTGTCGATAACTATAATAATTTTTTAAAATTTTTTAATATTTTTTTATTTGACCAATATAAATATTACAGTGTAGGACATTTCAGTTTAACATAGATCTTAGACAATAATTAGACTAAGTTACACTAACGTAAATTTATAGTAGTGTTATTTATGATTTTCTACACATAAAGATATTGCGATTTTGTTAAAAACTTTAGTCGCAGCCTGCCTGAACTAGGGTAAACCTGTGTTTCAGGCGATCGCTTGACATGGAATTTTTAAGGTAGAAATGTAACTGATCATGAATATCCAAGACACTTTTTTTTTCAATTTTAGAATACAGTTCAAAGATTATTTTAGTAACCTTTCCCCTAGGTCAATCGAAATTGCTATTACCTGCCATCTCGGTTAGTTTCAAAATTGACAAACATCTATAGTATACATCAAGTCTATACCTCAGTATTAAAACTTATAACTATCGTATATTTTCTAATTAGACAAACATTTTACCTATATCCACCTATCCTACATGCTCATGGCAACCGCGAAAATAAGTTTCAAGAGGTTTATACTTCAACTTCAAATGAGAAGCAAAGTTAATGAGCTATTTACAGTAGCACAGGACCATTATACCTCTTGCCCTTTTTATACTCATTATTTCTTACTACATAGTGTAACAGCAGATTGGTCACCTGATGGTCTCTACGCAACCCATGGACACGTGCATCTCGAGACACATAATGCAGTGCCGCCCTTGAAGTGTCCCCATATTCTCGATTCTTAAATTAGGGGAGGGGGTTTGAGGCTGCCATTACACAATATGGTAATTATTATTTTAAGTCTATTTCATTGATTTTATTCCACATGGCAACATTTTCATTTGGCACACACAAGTTAGTACATTCGAAAATAAATTTCCAAGTAGTTACCGATCGGATTCCCTTTGCATCCATACATAAGACATTTGAATACTGAGACTAGTTTGAATTATTCATTGCGACTTGTGCGCGGACCCGGCGTATATTTGAAATGCAGTCCTACATTATGTACGAGTTTACATGTGTTTGACACTTAACAGAACGGATTTACCTTATGAATGTAAAGCCTTGTCTGCTTCAGTGATAGGATTTTAAAATCGCTATTACATTGCCATCATAGAAGGTACTACAGATTTGCATGTTTCAGAAAGAGGATTTTTATATAAATTAAACTGGAATAGGGTGATACAGGCTATCACAGCTGTGATGGCATGACACAAAGCTGGTACGGAGCCAAATGTAATTTTTGAAATCATCTATCCTCTTTGTAGTATTCAATTATTTGTGAAGGAGATGGCGGAGCGGGACCGGGAGAGGTTTAGAACTCTCCCGGGCAACAACCGGTACAACTGGTTCCTCGACTACTGGTACCTGAGACGGCGTGCGGTTTTAGTCGGTTCGAGTCCGACATTGCCACCGGTAAGTGGTATCCGAGGGGATTTCCGCACATAAAAAAGGGCATATTTCCAAAGTTGTCATCATTCTTGCCGCTTAAGCAGATATGCTGTACATTTAAAAAAAAATAAGGCTACAGCCTACTCAAACGATTTCTTAGGAGGTACGCAAATGTAGGTTACAAGACTTTTTTATTCACTGACCAGAAAATTTTGACTCACTTACTGAGAAACATTTTAATGATTGGAAGGATCCAGTTAATAGTTGAAGCTCCAGAAAAGCTTTTCTAAACTTGAAACAACGGAGATCATTGTTAATGAGTGCCATATTTAGGAACAGACGGAATTTATAAGACAAATATCGAAAAATACAAACATGAAAATATGTAAGAAGCACTAGCATTTATATATTAGCAGATTAAAAGTAACTAAAATCTCAACACATTCTTAACGTTTAAAGAAAACATTAACATTAAACTCGAGGTGTTCCTGTTGCTGTTGATCTTGGAGTACAGGAGTTAGAGTAGTGGGTAGTTCGGAGGGAGTTGTCCGATCATTTGAATTTGACAGTGTCAAACTAATAACATTATAAAATCTATTTATGTATCAATGAAAAGTTTTGTAGGATTATTGAAATAAGACTGCTAAATAAACCAATTCTTAAGATAAGACATTTGATGATTTATTATTATATTCGAAAAGATATGTACATATATTATTATATGTATCATTAAACCTTAGAGCCTGAAAACATTCCAAACTTAGGCATTTTACTATTACAAACGGCAACGTACACTCTCTCTCTCTCTCACACACTCAGCCAAGGGGCAACAAAAGATCGGGTTCATGAATAAAATACGTGTATTTTATTGAAATTCGCAAAGCAGGTGTGCGTATAAGATTATATTCCTGATATTGCATTTTGTTATGACAAGGCGAAAAGCATAGTCTAAGTGGTCACATGACTCATTTTAGAAGTACATTTTGCTTCTAAAAAAGAGTATATTTAAGGCTCATGTGCGATCGGACCTTAAACTAAGCACGTCATGTGACAGCAATTTGAATACCGTAAACATCGCGCTTCAGGTCTCAACCATTCCTTAGCATTCCTCTAAAAATCACCACGCAAAACGTCAGAAGTGCCACTTCAGAGTTCACAGTAATATACACTTAAAAAGCAAAGGTGTGAAAAGAGTAAAGTGACTTTTCCCGTAGCTTTGGAAATGAGGGCGCCCGTTATTGTACGTACATATGTGTGCTGAGTCAACAGACTGCTTTTCTTTCAGGGTGAGGCTTGCTCGAGATTTTTTAAAGGTAAATTGACTGGTCACAGGTGGTTGAAGGGAAACGGGTCAGCGGGTCTCGGTGGCGTGTCATGTTCATGTATCACCAGGGTCGCATTTAAAATGATAAATGAGCTCTAGGAAAATACGATTTTAATATTTCCGAGAAGGACACGTGCTGCTCTACAGTATTAACTTCAAGTTAAATATTAACAGCCAGCCTCCTTAATACTGATATTCCATTGTCTGACAACATAAAAATATAGATCTGGGCATCAACAATAATTTCAATAAAAGAAAATCCGTAATAGCCGTGTGGATTAGTAATAGTTTTCTTAAAATTATAGATGTTTATTTAATTAATTTTTTATACAATCTTACTGTTAAATACAAACATTTTCAATCTAAACTTTTAATGTAACTCGAATTATACACACTGTTACGAGTACAATATACGAGCCGTATTATAGTCTATGTATTCCTTCTATTCAAATGTTCTGATGCTAATATACAATAAGTATTAGGTTTCATATCATTTAGCTGCAGTATACATAAGTGCGAAGCAAATGAAGGTCAGGTTTTTTCAGTAGGATTATATATTATAATTAGGATCAAGGTTGTATTTTACACGTAATACGAGTTCATATTTTTGTACATACAGTAAAGAGGTTTATGGAGCCTTATAACATAATCTGAAACTTAACTTTAATCAAAATTGTATTAAATACGAAAGTTTAATTATAATTAAACGTTAATTATCATTAAACTTTAATTATAATTACGAAAGTTTAATTATAATTAAACTTTAATTATTTTCAAACTTTAATTATAATTACGAAAGTTTAATTATAATTAAACTTTATTTATAATTAAACTTTCGTGAGTGGTATTCATATATTTTCCAATTTTGCCGTAGCACAGCCATGCACACTTAAACTGCTGAACCGATTTAGTTAAAATTAGGTGGCGAGATAGTTTCCCGGAAAAGGACATAGGATTGTTTTTGTAAACCAATTGTCTTTTAAGGGGTGAAAAGGTAGGAGGAAGTTTGAATGGGGTATCAATAACGTCTGAAGCGATTTAGTTTAATGTGTTATAGACATAGTTTGGTTCTCGAGGAATCACATAGGCTATTATTTACCGCGATAGCCGCGATAATATATATGAATGTTGAAGAAAATAATTGTTCGTTTGTTACTTTGCTAAACCACTGATGTTTAAAATTATTTCACCTATGGAAAATTACATTATCAGTGAGTAACATAGGCCACTTTTTACAGCGATAAACTACATTCACGCGTAAAATATAAAACTATAGCAGTTGACTGTTAACTTCCGCGCCGATTAAAGTAAAGGGTAACCTTTACGTTAATTGGCGCGGAAGTAAACAGTCAACTACTACTATG